AAGGGGTGGGGGGGGTAACGTGACGTCATCGGAGGTCAAACAAAACACTAACAACAACAGCGCAGCGCGCCTGTGGCTGCGGCTGCAAGCACTAGCACTAGCCGGCCGCAGTCGAGTTGCTAGGTGAGCCGGAGGTGCTGTGACGGCTGGACTGGACAGCTTCCCACTGTGTCATCCGATTTGAAGTCGAGAATGGTCGATAAAACGTGAGTAGAAATGGGATGTGTTACGCGGGGACTTTGCGCTGCTTGGCGGAGGCGTGTCATGTCTTCAAATAAAGCGAAGTGTGCTGCAAAAAGAGCTGCTTGGGTAAGGTCAGGTACTTAATCGGGATTTCGCGAACCGTCTTATTGTCGCTTTTCTCGCGGCTCTGCCTGCTCTGCCGCCTTGTGCCCAGCAGCACACTTCTCACCAGTCTCAATTCCTAGATAAAAATGACCCAACTTCAATCTAAGCTCTCTGCTTTGTTTGATTAAAGAAGTAAATTGTCGATGGGGTAACAACTCGTGTAATAGTCTGTACACCTGTACACCAAATATTTCTCATAATATCGCACGTAAAAAAATACTAGAAAGTCCGAAAAGAGACAAAGTACGCTCCAAAATGGTGTACCATAGAGTTTTGCGTGTAATAACCGGTCTATAATAGGGAGTAGTACACCAAACTTCGGAGTTGTTACCCCCTCGTGAAATGTAAATATCTCATCACATCAGAGTTACTTTTCCTGAACAGGCCGGTACTGTTCTCACCCCATACTTTAATGCCCCGCCCTCACCGCCCCGGGCCCGGCGGGCCGCCTGGTCTTCCCCCCCAAAGCCTGGAGAGCCGGCTGCAGGCGCTCGAGGACTACAGCCAGCGCACGTTCAAGCCCACGGACGCCGTGCTGCAGGAGGTGGTGCAGCGCGCGCGCCAGCACAACATGCCCAACATCCACGTGGGCAGGATGGACGGCCTCACCATGGAGGTGATCATCAGGATGGCGGGCTACAAGAAGGTGAGGAGGGACTGGTGGACAGGGACACGGTGGGCAGACAGGCCGCGCACTGTTAGATTCCTGCGAAGTATTTTGAACCTTTGTAACTACGAAGCATTTACTTTGCAATTACAAAGTGGTGCTTTGCAATTACGAAGTGACGCTTTGCAATTGCAAAGCGATCTTTGCAGCGTGTTCGACTGACGGAGGAAGAAGAATAGCGGGTAGAACATAAACGTTACCGTTTCGTCGAGAGCTTCCCGCCTCTACGTCACGCCGGTGGTGGGAGTTAGCGCTATGTTCTTCCCGCTATTCTTCTTCCTATGTTAGTCGAAATACACTATTCAAAAGGAAATTGCCGGCCGGAAACGAACGGACAGTTTAGACAACCGTCAACGCGCGAAAGCGTCTGACGTGACCATCTACCATTCAGAGAGCAATTGGTTTAAAGTTAGACAGACAAGGCCAAACTTGCCAAACGCTTATGCGCATATTGTATTATTTTTTAAAAATTATTTTT